ATATATTATTAGATTTCTCGAGAGTTACACAGTGATAATACGCTAACAAAGTCGTCGGTGTATTCAATAACAAGATGATAAGAAAAACTCCTCTAAGCGTGTGTGGCGATTTCTGATAGAGCGCACCATTCCGGCTGTGTGCAGCAAAGACAGTGCATGCCAAAAGAATGTAAGACCTTAAAAATCTATCTGCAGTTTTTCAGAGCATGAAATTAGCAAGACGTGCCCGGCCCGCCTGACCGACTTCTTGGCGTATGAAACAGCTTTTCTGACCTTCGTTCATCAGCGGATCTCGAATCTCTACTTTTCTTTTTGCACTTGCGTGTATAGGGAAACTCCGAGAATCGTCCCTTCCAAAGCGCGTTGAATGACGCTGTTCATGTTCATGTTCATAGTGCTTTCGTAGAGTCCAAATGTTTGAGGCATACGCCAAAGAAGGAAGGATTGCAATGTTAAAAGTTAGCCTTAAGTAGATGTTTTTTGTCTTCACTACTCCCTCGGTATTTTTGACCGGTTTCCACGGGGCGCATTTCCTTCTGCTTAGCTCCGGAAAAAAGTTCATCATCTTGACCTTCCGACTAGCAATAAGATGTAGTCAGAGCATTCGAAGATATTCTTTCCGTTCAACGTGAGGAGACCATTAGGTACCTATTCGTTTCTCAGAGGCATGTTCAGAGTTCAGCCTGAAGCCGATCTTTCCATGAACTAGGCCGGCATTCGTTCCACCCAATTTTTGGTGTTATAAGCACGATGTCGTGTGGAATACGCATGTGGTTAAAGTAGCAACCATTGACCTTCATTCGCTCGTTTTCCCATTCCAAATGACGATGAAGTTTTCGAAAACAGCATTAAAAAATTTAGGCGAAATGGTATTGCCCTGCCGAATACCTCTCCTCACGTTCACAATGACTTATAGAGTGACGGAAACTTGGTCGTGAAGCTGTCGTGTAATTCATCCTCATGTATTTAGTAGAAAAACCCTGGTTAACCAGAATTTCAATTATTGCGTCTGTCTCGACGGTATTGAAGTCAGGCATAACGGCATCATGTACTCCGCTAAACTTCAATGAGTCTTGTAACAGTGTGGATGAGATCGATTATATTGTGTAAGGAAAGTTCTTGCCGATTTGATAGCTAATTTTCTAAAAATCATAATTAATCATAAAATGAACATTTTCAATCAACATAAGTCTCATTCAATTCTACACATCTTTGCCAACGCGGTACAAGTTTCCTTATTCCATTCCCATAAAAGTCCGGTGGTCTGGATTATAAGAGTTCGATGAAGGCAACTTCCACGCCGCTTTTTTTTGAATTCTCAAACCTTCAAAAGGTTGAATAATAATATGAATAGATGTTTGAATAAATGGAGGTCAGTTGGTGACAGGTCTGATGAGTAGGGTTGATGGAGAATAGCTTCTATCCGCAGCTCGTTCAACTTCTGGAAGACGATTCGAGACACACGTGGTCGGCCACTGAAGTGCAAAAGCAGACGATACACTAGTGCTGCGCTCGCTCTAGTTTCATGCACATCTTCTGAATTTGGTTACATTTGGACTATGTGTTCATGGTTTAATAGGACGACGAAGCGAGTAGTGGATTAATCCATGACTAGACCACCCAACTGTGATCATTGTTTTCTTGATGTGTGAAATTGGCCTGGGAAAGACCTTTTGAGGCTCATCTACACCTATCCATCAAGCAAAACGTTTTCTCTTGTCATATACGAACTATTTTTTTACCACACGTGTCAATACGACGAAGAAAAGGTTCAATATCATTTCTTCTCAGCAAAAAACTTGAAATTTCTAGGCGCCTCGATTGCTGCTGCTCCGTGAGTTGGTGTGGCACCCACTTGTCAAGCTTCTTCACCATTCCAAGCTGCTTGAGGTGGTCAGCAAGGACTGTTTGAGAAACGTCCATGTGTAGTCTCCCTCAATGGTTGACGTCGACCTTACTCGACTGCTCTTAGCAAATTATCGCGATCATCAACTAATGATGGTCGACCAACTCGCTCTTTGCCTTTTGCCTTTCAGTTATTCATCTTCACTTCTCAACTACTAAAACCGGTGACGAACCGTTTGCTCCGATGCAGTGACTTTTCCCAATGCTGCTTGATGTTTGTGGCTGCCTCCTTCGCAGGTCCCCGAGCCAGAACTCGCTAGGTGAAACCGTTCGAAAAGTAGCCTTACTCTTTCTGTGGAAAAAACGTCTTGAATATTTTAAAAGCTTTACAGAATTCTGTGAAAAGTTCTTTGACAGATAGAGCAGCTTATGGCTCAAGGGCCCCTAGAGCACAACACATCGATTGGTCTGATTTGAGAACCGCCGAAATTCGAGTTGGTGTGGCGCATGCTCGTAAACGGCAAGAATTTTCCTTACAACCATACTGAACCCTGCTTCCTCGCATGGCTGTCTGTACTATTCTGCCTATCCTGGTTCTGGTGATGGTGGCGCGAGACAGCAGGCAGGCTTGGCCGTAGCGTGTCGAATATCGTAAGGAAGAACTGAAGGAGCGATATATCTTTATCGTGGCTATGATAGTAGGTAGGCAGGTAGGCGTGGCTGTCGAAAAAATCCGAGTAGAGTTCATAGATGATCTTCTCCTTGGCCCTTTGAAATGCAGTAACTGTTCCGTCAGGACGATGAAGGGAAGTCATTCGGTCTTATAATTGGCGAAGCTCTGCCGTGTTCAGACGGTCTTTACGTCCTAGGCGACTTCGTCCATAACCGCTGCTCTTCTCCCTATTAGGACGTCTTTATCGCTTATCTGCGTAGCTTCGCAGATTTGGACATTTGTTGATGGTTGCCCGTAACTCGTGTGATTCACACTGGCGTGTCAGTTCAAGAGTCTTCAAAAAGGTGCGTCTCTAGGCTACCGGGAGACTTCCTGCTGCCCTAGCACTATCGTGAAGATTTTCGACGAGTGCGGAAAATTTTAAGGTTACAGATAGCAACCAAATTGTTGCCAATATAGTCTATGTCTGTTCTTATACAGCATCACAGTCTTGTTAGCTTGCCACGACGTGGGCACCTTGCACTGCGACAGATGACACATGTAGTACCGAGCCAGGGTTTTGACAATGACTGACAGGTTTCAGATGTTCTGGTTTGACCCTATCGGGACCGGGCGCCATACAGTGTCTCGTCGACGTAATGGCATGTCGGTTCTTATGAGAAGAGGGTCAGCTATTAGTGCTGTTCTTCTCCCTTTCAGGTCCTCCCTCATCCCAGATCAGATTTCTTAGCTTCAAAAGTTCGGACGTTGTTGACGATTGCCTGTACAGTTTACATTCTTAATTAATGATGTCGTTATCGTTTCCCAGAAATTTGCAAGAAAGGCGAAGTGGTCCCTGCTGATAGAGATCTTGAGGCTTCGTTTCTTGAACTTCCCAGCTCTCCTTTCGCACACTGAGAAACATAATCTGGCGCGGAGGATACAAAAATCCGATCCTGTGTAGGTCTTAGGAACAGCAGCGGTGTCAGTCGGGCAAAACTTGCGATTGAAGAATACGTGGCCTATTTCATTATGAAACTCTTCATCAGGTGACTCCCGGGACCATCACTAATGAGAGGGTTTTTTGAGCTGCGGATTACCTCGGGTAATATGGGTCGACTTGTGAATTAGGACAGCCCCCCTCGTTCTTTCCATTTCATTCCCTATGTGGAGCTCTTCAACCATTGCTCTGCGACCAATTTTGAAGCTGAAATCAACGCCGATGATATTAAGGGAAGTGCTTTCTGAAAAGCCTTTTCAGTTGGCTATGAAACGCTTCCAGCTCCTCCTCTTTGTAGCTCGATGTTGTTGCGTACACAACGAGGAATTTTGGAGCTGGGGTCGAGCGAAATTTTCACATTCTGAAGTGCCCAATTCTGATTGTCAAGCTTTCGTACGAATCAATATTCATGGCCAATTACGTATGTCGAAAACATGTATTCCGCCGACCCCTCTGCTATTGCATGTTTCAAACACTGCTGTGACTTGGTGGCTCTAAATGTGAGGAGAGATCAAACCAATATGAAATATTGCATAGGTGAAGAAATTCTACGCATCACATTAATTTCGCTCATTTAGGAATAGTAACGTATATCGATTCCTCGTCGATCGATAGCTAGCCGTGAAGCGCTTACCACATTGTATGAAATGTGACAATATCTTACTTCCTTCAAAGGCCCTGAACCAACCGGGTTGTAAAGGTCATACTGGAAAAGAATAATGTCATTAATGTGGAGGTTGCTGCCATCGTACGGTACTGCTGTGGAACGGCTGTTACCTGCCTTCTAACGACACAAGACAATCCCGAATCGAACTTTACTACATATCCGTTGAACCACAGAACATACATGATTCGGCTCTCAGCATAGCGAAGATTTCTTGAAAATTGTTGATCAGCGGCAAGCTTCGAGTTTCATCGGAAGAACAACACTTGAGAAAGTAAAAAAGTAAAATGGCAATACCAAATAAACATCTGCTATATCTATGTATGCTTCATCTACCAAATTTTTAAAATTTGAAGATTTTGGACGGCTACGAACATTCTCGTTAACTTATGGAAGATATGGCATGATTTCTCTCCTTCATATTCATTTGAGCAACTACCGTCTTCCACAGGCGAGTCACTAGTACGCGACTTGGCTGCGAAAGACGATTGTTGCTCAAAGGAATATCAACAAACTTAGTGTTCGCTTTCTCTATATGTGGAACGGAAAGCGAGCTAAGAACGAGTTCGCTTCAATACATGGACTCATTCCCTAATTTCACCCTACAAGTTAATCAACCTGCTCAACCTGCAACGCTAATGAGTTTTCAAATCCGTGTAGAGATAAACTTATCGACCTTGTCGAATTCACTAACAGTCACCTACCACGCTCAATCTAAATCCTGTCAACTACTCCCTAATGATCAGGTTTAGTGTATATATCTTTACACATCCGAGCTCATACACTCTAAGGAATGCTAACAAAAAAGTATAGATTGAGTTTTCACCCTACCTGCGCAGATGACGGATGCTGCTTCGAGCCTTGGTTAGCTGCTCTAAATTTCTCTTCTCTCGCTATTGTGACTAGATTGGCCGACTACAGTTTTTGGCTGCAGCATTTCTTTCAATAAAATGTCTTCGAAAAATTAATGACGTCCTTTTGAAGTGAGCAAAGACGAAGAAGATGTGCTCTACCATTACGGCAACACTTGTGAACCTATTCCTGTGTATTCGGTTGACGAACAACCTCTCGATGGACCGTCAACGCTAACGAATACTCTCAGATGCCCGGTGCAGTACATTAGCAAGGTAAGGATGAGAAGCTTCCGATTTTCTTCGCAACCACTATTTCGCGCTCCTCGAATACGTCTAGTGCGATAAAAACTTCGCCAGAGAAGATATGGGCGGCTGTCGAACCCTTTTGCTGCTGTACAAAGCCGTTCTTCAAATGAAGTGAAGATCATGGTATATTTGACCTCATTCTGGTGCAACCAAATCCATGACCCCTTTTGGAAGAGCCGACAAATCTGTCGTAACGATGGGGTTGTGCTCTCAGGTAGCTTCCAGAAAAACTAAAAAAACTAACCCATAACACCGTTGTGATTCCAAATATAAACCACTTGCCGAAGGAACATCTCGTCATCACAGAATCGTAATAGAACTGAATGAATGCATGACTGACTCATTATTTTAGGTTGTCTCAAAAGTTCCTGCATACAACGAACTCTTTTTGAACTACCTTTAATTAAAACACAACTTCATTGTGCAATGTATGCACCATCACTGTTGTCACGTTGTTGCAAACGACTACTCAGAGAGTGGATGCACCGTCGCCAAACTCCCTGAAAAAAGAGTAAGGCCATTTTTGAGATCATTCGAGGAATCGTTGTTCTTCTTAACCGCAAGATGTTCACTGAGGGACAAGATTAAGTGGGAGTCGGAGGGGGCGGATCGCAGAGGTATAAAAAGTGTGGTAGTATTTTCCACACGAGTCTGAGGACCTCGCACTGTATCATCGTCAAGACATGTGGTCTTGCATTGACGTAGTGCAGGTATACTTTGTCGAGCTCCGGAGAGGGAGCTCCTCAGCTAAATTCCTGGTTGACTGCAGTGGACCTCGCCCGTAATCATGGCGCTGGGAGAGAAAAGCTTTCAGAGACACACTTCACGAACACCCAACATACGCACAGGATAAGACAGATCTTCTGTCTTCTACTGGACAGATCTGATCGCCAGCCAGTTCAGCCCTTTCCGGTAGATCCAGCCTTTGATATCTCCCCCTGTTTTTCAGGTAAAGGCACTTTCCCATATATCATTATTCAGGAAGTCCGCTCAGCTGGAGTTGGAAAGGTTGTAGAGAGTTTGCACGCACGTTCGTTCTCTTCCGAGAAATGGTCGACTTATTTGGAATTCACTGGCCTAACTCTTAGATTTTTGAATAATAAGCGAAGAAATCTGTTCACTGAATCTTTGGAGCCTCGGAGTATGATTGTTTGTGAGTAGGTCGTTTGGTGCGGACAGGCCTCGATCGGACAGAGTAGAGAGTTCAACTCCATCCAGATAGCCTTTTCGAGCAAAGTCTGCCTTCCGAATCGTAATCGCCTGAGCGAAACCGATCGCCACCGTACGTCAGGAGACAATGGTTGGACCTAATGCGGAGCAGATATTGCAGGTAGCTCTGATTGCACTTTGGCTCAACTGGAACTATTGCAGCGTAGTGTGACGAAGGTGGTTCTTCTCAATCACTACTTTCAGACGAAATCAGCAGCTCAGGCAGACGTAATCAGCATCTCAACAGAGTTTCGCAATGTGAATAACATAGCATGAATAACCGGACCCCAAGATCGATATAAAAGTCTGGCACGATAGTTAGAAATCACGCGCGATTGCAGGAACAACCATAGGATCGGTGACCTACCTATCACAGTTGACTGCCGTTCTATTCATTGCTGACCTACAAGAAAAGGAATATGTTGTTGTTCCATGTTGAAAAACAGTTTTTAAGGTTCCGCCGTCACTGGTCAGCGACAACTTTTGCTTTATTTGTGATGGGGACGAGGTGTCTGTGGAAGATATTCTTACTGAGTGCCAATGGTGGAAGCAGACCAGTAGCAGTACACGGTTCTACTCTTCCGACAATCTGACCACTTTTCATCAGGTTAGATTTTCGGAGTAAATACTCGTAGGATTCGAGCCGCTCTCTTTTATACTTGATTGAGATAGAATTATTCATTTTGACGATAAATCAAGGCGACTTTCAAAAGACGGAGGCGTGGCAGCGCAGCGACTTCTGACGGTTTCAAGTCAAAAGTCAACTAATAAAAATTGACGACATCACAACTACTTGCAAATAGGCCGCAGAGCAAATACACCCTTCTCAGAAAATTCCACAATGCTTGTCGTGTTCCACAGCTTGAGAATTGTCGATATGTTGATTCCATATTCACAGATTTCACCTTCCTCGACTAGAGGAAGTATTTGCTACCGCTTTGTCAGACTAACAGACCCTTACAGAATCTCCACGTTCGGTAATCTTGAAATAAATACACATTGCCCAAGGTTTCACACTGTCTTGCCTACAAGTTTGTTATGGCTTTATTTGGTCGCCGTTTCAAACAAGTAGTCTTTTCAGGGAGCTCCTGATTATGTAGGCTTCGAGAAAGCTGTGTAGTAGGATCGGTTGATGTAACTGCGCTTTATGCACACATAAACAACAACGAATCTCTTCAAGCCATTTCGGAAGTATTTGACTAGAATAAAACAGAAACTGCGACGTTTAAATTGAGTAAGGTCACATTACGGGTGGTGGTTAAGGAATGCGTTGATTGTGAAGTTCCTGAGTGGAGCACGCAGCACTTCTCCCAAAAGGGAGTTTTATGGTTTAGTGGCCAACCTAGGTCCTAGCTAACTGGTTTATGACAGAATAGAAGGGTCAGTTATAGAGAGCATAGCAGTATGTACCGTCAGAACTTTGAAGACTGCTGCAAATTACATCAATGCAGCAAGAAATATTAGGAAGAGTCAGAGGTTTTGATCGATCTTTCACCTCTGTTATGAAAACTTTCTAACTCTAACCTAATAAATATTAACTAAAACTTACCTAAAAAGAGGACACTGATCGGAAGTATAGCATTCATCGTGATCCACAACATATGCCCAACAATTCGGCAAATTCCCGATTTCTGAAGCCCAGAACTGCGGCAGCCGCGATTCGATAGAAGTGAAAACCTGTTTTAGTTCCGAGCGATCATCAAATTTTCTATCGCGAAGGTAGTGTTTCAGAGCAACAAACACATGGTAACCGGATGGCACAAAAACTGTTGAGTTTGCAGAATTTGGATGGGAATGACGCAGCACTTCCCATCCAAATTCTGCAATCTTCTAACGAAGCAGTTTCGCAACATGCGGTCGGGCGCTGTCGTTAAAAAAACTATTTGTTCCTCGCTGCGGATGCTTTTTTGGATAACGTCGGCTCTGTAGTCGGGAAGCGCAAGTTTCGGCGGTCATGGTATAATGCCCAGAAAAAGTTCAGAATGGAGCATCCCCGTGAGAATCCCACCAACAACACATTGAAACCTTCCTTGTGGTGTGTAGTACACTTTTCTGCTGTCTTGAAGGTGATTCATCACGAGGCGCTCTTGGGTTGAGATACAATAACTCTTGTGATGACACCGCAGATATGAGCGAGAGCCGTCGATGGACTATGCCCTTACCGAAAGTCGTAATAGACGATAGATTTCAGGTAGCTTTGGCTGACAGTGAAAGATTGAAGTCATGATACGACACACTTACAAAGGCATGCTTACATGCCCCCTGAAATACAAGTTCGGGGACGGTCAGCCATAACCCATTACGACATCCTCTCGAGTGGCCCTACGAGAAAATCTAGAAAGAGATAAAGCACCGATCAGAACTTTTTACTGAACCCAATAAATGAATTGTTTGACATTCCAGCCGAGATTCACAGTATATCCGGTTCAGGAGAGAGGTTCTGGCACGAAGTCTGACTACCTTATCACTCAGACAAGTATCTCAAGTGTAAGGTACAGTGTGAAGAACAGCTCGAAAAACATCCAACTCCATGTTATCTGCTTACCATGAATCTGTGAAGCGTGTAGTCGTCTGTGACATGAACAGTACGGCTACAGGAGTTTGTACAGGCGAGGTGGAACGAGAGAAGTCACGTAGGCTAGTGTGTGTGATTGGAAACTTGAATGTCTACAGAAGTTTGTACAGGGAGAAAAGACGGAAGGTCAGGCTCTTAAAATATTCGCTGAGAGACTATGAGAATGTGGTGCATGTCCGACTCTCATTTATTCGAATGAAGTCAGGGCAGAGATCCGATAACGTATCGCACGAGCGGATTTCACTAGTGATGATGTCCTAATAAACCTACCAACGTGCAATATCAAACATCATCTGATCTGTAGTAAAATTTATGATCGTGCATGTACCACGACTAACTGAATTATTTGTCGCCATGTTCGACTTTCGCTGAACCTCCGCATGATTCCTATACAGTTTTGTTTATCCAAACAGAACACGAGGTTAAGTATTACAAATCCATCGGTTAACGTCTCCACGATTCTTGCCTTCTTCGGAGCCTGAAAAGGTGAAAACAAGTCCATGATTCATCCGACAAAATGTCTCACCCTTTATAAGACCTTCGAAACCAATTGAGTCATCACGTAATTAATAGTTAGATTAAAACCGTACCTTCCAGATCAGCAGAGTCAGCCCACCGGGACGACAGTAGTAGCCTACGTCAAGATGATCAGAGTTCACGGTTCCGGCTGGAAGGCTATCCTTATATAGGAGATCAGTTTCCGCGTTATTGTCACACAATCTCCCCTCCGGCTCATTTTTGAATGATTGACTCGAATCCAAAACCTCCAGGGTTTTGCGCTCGGCTGTCTGGGTTTCACGCTCCACGACCTCGACCATGACCTCAAAATCGTCTCCGTTACAAGTTTCCAGCCTGTGGCAACCTAAAGCAGTAGATGACCGCGAGCTTGCCTTTCCCTCCAGATGCTCTCTAACAGAGCGCAAAGCGGTCGAGACGTCTTCGCTATATATTTTTCTCGACAGATAATCCTGTAGACCACACCTGCGATGGCACAATCTCCATCACTGCCACTGGGACAGGCCACACAGTTCTCCGTCGCGCATGTGCGGTCATAGAGACTGTTTCTAACGAGACAATGATTTAGGTTATTGGGAGGAATATCCACAAGGCTAACAGTGTCTTCCAGGCGCGATTTCTTTAGACACTTCATTATGGAAGCGCTTACTTAATCATAGATAGAAGGTGTCATGAAGAGGGTTTTCCCGTTCAGAACACCTCTACTATTTCTAATGGATCCACCACCTGTCGTGGACCGATGAGAATGCTGAGGGTGTTTGTAGCCGTGTTATTTGTCCGTTTTGAAAAGATGGAGATTGCACACAGCGAAGGTTAGTGTACCAACTTTAATGTTCAGCTTCTGACGAAATACAGTCTGTATTGGTGAGAGGGAAGGATGTTGGGCATACATATGAAAGAATATTCGGCAGGTAAGAGAGGGTGAAAGCCTTCTTAAGCGGCACGCGGACTATGAAAGCAGCCATTGGGGCACAAACTTGAAGTAGAGTGGATTAGTAGGGTCAGCTGATACTAATCTACTCTACTTCAAATTTGGCTCTCAATAATAGACGCTGCAGTTGTTCAGGTCGTCACAAGTCTCGTCGCGCAATTTGCCGCACGCAGTTCGAATCGTACGAATGTACATACCTAAATCTTGTGCAAGGACCGTCTGGAAATGGGAAGGACGGCAACGCTGGTGGGTGCCAAAGGTTGGATTCTTGCTTGGGATCTTTTGATGTTCAAGTTTTGGGAGCTGCTGCATATGGTCCGGCGCGTTTGGGCGCTCAGTCGGGTGAGTCACAGATCGCGAGCTCCTTGAAAACGACTATTTATGCGAAGCATCGATCAATTGAAGCGGTTCTACCGGAAGGAGCCTTTACGGAAAAGCAGTGTTTTGATGTGAAAATGCGCATGACTTAACTCATTCCTCCGCAACCTTCGTATTTCATATTTCTTATGAGGCGCTCGTGCCGCTTGTAGCAAGGGTAAATTCGGTCTCTAAATGCAATCAACTTATATCGTCAGGCGAAAAATACAAATGGAGAAATAAGGTGTCACTGTGATGGTTCTTGGGGCAGCATCGCGGTGACGTCGACAGTACCAGCTCAAAAAAAAAACGGTCTTATCTGGTCCTATGGTTGCTGTAATCTGAGAGTCACACCCCAAAATTGGACCTCAAAATCCAAGTTGCGGAGGAAAATCAAATAAGCTACGTCTCAGGGGTGAGTTGGATAACTGGTGAGCCTACCCGAGGAGGAAGAAACGCACAAGTTATAGTCAAGGTCAAGGCTAAGTTGAACTAGAAAACCAAGTGGAGTTCAATCTGTAGGCTCGGATCAGAAGGTCCTTGTACAACAGAACTCCCTGACTTCCAAATCTGAAGGTTTTGTTTGCTCAATTTAGGTCAATCTGCTGACGTGCCGAGGAGAGACGCGAGGTGCATACAGAGCAAGGGTGCGTGGCGGAGCTATTGCCAAGGTTTCATTGGACAAAGTGAGTTCGTACATCCGATCCTATGAGTATACAAAACTGAGTCTTATAAGCACAGTAAATACTGTTTCAATTCTGTCCGATTGAGCTTTTTGCTACCAATTATTAAAAAAAAACTTAGATATTTTGTGAAATATTGACCACAGATCTTCACAAGCCGTTGAAAACCACTTGATATGAGTGCATTACGTAGTGATTTAGTCTACGGTATTAGCCTCGCCCTAGTTCCAATTAATTGAATTATAGAAGTATGCAGCTGTGAACTGTGAGCATTATTCCTATTTCGCCCATGAATAGAGAAATTGACAACTTTTTTTTGACATTTACTCCTCTGCAAGACCCTCACTATTCGGTTTCAGCAGCTCTTGCAATTAATTCCGTATGGTCGACCATTTTCACATTATATGTAACCGTTTGGAACGCTCGGCTGATGCCGAGACCTGCTCCTTTCTGTGTTGGCGTTGGCCCGCCTGCCTAAACTCTCCTGAGTTCAAAAGCTCTGATCTAAGAAGACAGGAGCTATTGATTCCCAGCGAAATACATGCACACAACGACACAATTCGTGCGCTACCCGCAATGAGCGTAGTCTTGTTCAAAACCTGTGAGTTACAGTAACATGGTTCGGGAGCTGCTGGAAAAAGGATAGGCTGTTTTCATAGTCCGCCGCCCGGGCCTTCTCTAGCAGCTCCCAGGGTTCAATGCCTCTTTTGTACCACTAACAGGGCAGGAGAACATTCTTGGGGTGAAGGTTGGCCTTCGGGGTGACTTCTGGCTGTTCGATGGCGGATTACCAACATCCATGCAAATGGAATACAGAAGGATCAACCACTTGCAAGAACTTGTATCAACCTTATATGTACGTAGAATTATTCAGTGACATGTATGTATGTTCGCTGTCAATAAAGGACCAGGAAGAGAGTAAATCACACGTAAATACGACTTGATTAGGAGGTCGGGCAGCCCTTGAGAGAAATCATATACATACTCACTAATTTTTTTTCCCAAATTTATCTGCTCTGTATGATGAAACCTCAACTTTTCAGCAGTTCCTTACCGAGAAGATTCAATTAATCGTTAGGCGCCTGGTCTAATTTGGATATCGGCAATTTTTCAAATATCTGAACCCAGTTTCTGCAATTGTCAAACTTTTAGTGGAAGTAACGCTGAAAACTGCTCATCTGCTAGATTTTGCTCATGCTTCGGTTTCTCACTGATCAATACTCAAGTGAACTGTTCAGTGTCTCCAAATACACTAAGTTCTGCCTTAATCGGACAATAATCTGAATGATTATCTTTGTACTTATTCACTTATAACTCGTAAAAGCAGTAAATCTCTACTTGAGGTCTTCCGTGTGTCGCGCTTCTTCAGCTCATGGAGGACATGCCCTGGATTCCATCGAATAGTTTCCACGATAAATCCCATTACCGAAGGTTATTATGTATCTTTTCTTGCTTATTAATTTAACTTACTTTCCTATCTCTATTTCGAATAACCTCTATATCTGTGTGCAGTCCTTGTTTTTAATTTTTACTGAACCTGCATCAAGTAAACTAGTCGTCAACATGCATATATATTTCGAGTTTTTTTATTTAGGCTCGCTTTTTTACTAAGATCAAAAAGTATTTTTTTTTCCAAATGTATTACTACTCCTCATTTTTGAGGGAAAGAAATCAGAAATTACGACATGATATTTCAGAAGGAGAAATGTGCTACCAGTTCAAAAAAAGGATATTCATTCAGTACTTTTGGAGATCGGAAAAAGTACGTTAATCATTATGTTCTTGTCATTACGAGCTATTACGATGTCGTCTTTCATTCTTTATAACAAACGATGAATTCGCTTTTTAAAATCAGTCTCGGGGTCCTGGGGCATTTTTAGTCGGGAGTCTGGAAGGCAAAAGGTCCTTTTTTCACTTTGGAAACACCGATTCACGCAGTTTCTTCGCCTTCATCGCGCTATTTTCGATCTTGTCTTCCATTTTCAATCATAATCTGCATTACCCAAAATTATCGTGAACTGTGCCTTTAAGTCCAGTACCGAAAATCATGGAAAACGGGAAGATGATACCTGTACTCTTCCTCATACTAAAAAGGTTATCATAGGTGTGAACAAAGTAATGAGAGGGGGTGATAATTTTTGTTGTTCTATCTCTATTATTCATAAAGCAGTAACTTGGTGCGTCGGTTTATCTGTCTGTCCGTCCGTGAAACTTTGAAACTTTATGATAACGATAGAGGTAGTGATGTGAAGAACCCAGATCTTTTCTGCATTTCCGTATATACAAGGTACCAACTTGGGGGTTAGTTAATAGAATAGATGCGAAGTGAATAATTTGGAGTTAAGTGGGTACTTCAAAACTAAGATTCCGACCTGTACTGGCATCGTGCTATGTATGTCTGAACAAAAATCGCAGATAAGAAGACATAATGTAACTGGGAGATTTTTGTTTCAGCATTGTGCGCTAGAGAGCGCATATAGGCAGGTTAGCCCATAATTGTGCTCAGGAACCTTCCTCAACCGAACATATGCAGTTTTTTGACCTAAGCATCAAGAGAGAAGTAGCACCGAGGTGGGTGAGCCGATTGAGTGCACAACTCATACCCTACCCTGAATTTTTGCCCGAGGTAATCTTCTAACCCCCAACTCGGCTCTCCTCCCCTCCTGAGGCTTAGGTGAAAACTATATCTTTTCGCCTAGAGCCGTCTCTAAGCAAGATATGGTCGACTACTACTCCTCTGCGCTCTAGAATTCATTGTTGGGAATGTAGTTAGGGGGGGGGGGTTCCTCCCCTAACTACATCCTCTAACAAAAAGTAAGGAGTGAGGAGTGAGGCTCGGCGTAAGCTGGGCGACCCGACTGGTGATGGATAATGCAGCAGACCTAACCATTAGAAGCTGTTTACGGCATAAGTGACATATCGATGTGATCTAGTTAATAACAGTGCGACATAACGATACTCTGGGTGATGCAAGCAATCATTTCAGCCTCACGATCGAGCTCTGGTATCGAAGGAGTATCTGGACTTCCGAATAAACACCACGGAACATCGAAACAGTCTCATGCCACCGTCAACCTCAACAGTCTCACGGTCTTTTCTTTGGAAGTTATTTTCTAATACACAAAGAAGTATTACATGTAACCCAAAAGCAGAAACTTCAAGGCAAAGGAGTAATTCTGCACAAAAAAAGGAAAAAAAATCAAAAAATTGAAGGAATATGCCTAGTTATGATGTTCGAAGCTCAATCTGGGAATGAAGAAAGACTAATTAGAAAAAACGGGAAAAAGGAGGAAAAGAAGCAAGTAGGCCGTCAGTAAGCATTTACCTTTGTGGGATCATGCTGGACCTTTATCGTACGTACACAATTGCTCCTCACTTCTACGAAAAAGGTCCCCGGTGCAAAACTCATGAAGGAAGCGTTCTGCATGCTGGGCTTGCTGATAATTAGCCCTTCACAAGCACTTTTGCAGTAAATGTGATCAACTGGATATTCTCGACATCACTAAAAACTCGTCCAACTACTGCTTTCGTCGAAGTAGCCTCGCTCGATCATGGAATTGAACTAACCTGGAGAAAGAGATATACTGAGAGATGAGAAGTGTTTCGGGATTCTCTCATGTTTTCTATACGAATTCGTCCTGTACGCCTCGTTCCTTCATCCAAGCTTTCATCTCATCCTTATCGTACATAAAGCGTTCACCACTGTCTATCTATCTGTCGCCCATTACGAAACCCAAACACGAGGAGAGATGACTACGGAACATGTACGAATGGGAAGATGTAAAGGGTGAAACTGCTTAGTTTGCTTCTCGAACAGCACGCATTGGGCAAAAAGGAATAGAGGTAGAGAATAAGTCATCAAATGGAATGAAAGAGAGCATATAAAGTCTCATAGTGGGCGGTAGTTTCTACACAAAATTATTGCTCGTGTCACCACAGATTGGAAGCCTAAGAAATCCATAGATGTTAGCAAGGTCTAGAGGAGGATTCGCTGGAGGGGTATACGGCGAATTTTCAAAGCAGAGCCCAGGTCAATGATTTACAGAAATATCCAAAGCGTTTCTGTGGTGATGCATGCACACGTTAGCATGCATGTCCTAGCCTATAGTAATGTTCCATAATGGTTGACAGAATTTTATAGAACACCTTGTCTGCCATTACAAGGAAGCCTGCAGAAGTCTGAGACTTCCACTTCCCAGACACGAGTTTGCCTTTCAGCCTTCCCTGTCGACCTTTCATAGCTGAAATCACTTTTGTCTTCATCCTTCAATATCCCTTTCCCATAATCTTAATTCCATGCGATACGAACGCTTCAGAGTAGAAAACGAACTGTAATCAATGCCATGAACTTCCTGCACTGTAGCGTAGGCACCGCACCACCCTCTATAGGTCCAACAGTGTTGCTCGATTCTGAAATAGTTGAACGAACCCCCGTGTAAAACCACAACCCAGTTAAGATTCATATCAGTGGAACTGTTGCATAAGAAAAAAAAACTGAACTTCTCGAATCACTGTTTCTGCTTTCATAGTTCGCCGGCCGGCCGGCGCCGAACGGATCGGGACCGGTCGACGCGGTCGCATTGCGCCCAAGCCCTCAATGATCGAGACCGTCCTTGGCGGCGCCCATGGCTAGCACCTCCTCCGGCCGGCTCGCTCATCGGCCGGCCGGCGGACTATGAAAGCAGCCAGTGAAATGTTATGGTATGTAGAGAATGTTATGTAATGATATGAAATATGTAGCTTGCAGAAGCTCGTATCCGTGGACATCACACCAGGCAACCCGCGACTCACTCGGCAACGTCTCTTCGGGTACATGTGGAACTCGGTCCCACGCCGCTCAAAAGTTCCACACAATCGCGAAATCATTGAAAATTGCTCGATCATTTGGTCGACGACAAAGCACGGCAGCGCTGCCTTCGACTATGAACAATAGCTGATCACGACTGAATCTCGAGGGACATCGCTATTTTACGAGTAGGCTGATTAATCACTTGAAGGCACAGTTCACGATCATTTTGGGTGTTTTGGGGTATCTAGTTTCAGAAGAATAATGGAGATGATGATTCAGAATGAATAAAGAAAATGATAGTCCAAAATAGCGCAAAAACGATGAGAAAGAAAATGTGATGTATTTAAAAAAATATGAGATTTTAAAAAAGTACGTAGTAAAACTGGAGGTTGAACGAGAATGTGGCGGCAGAATTTGCATGGAAGCGGTAATCAGAAGAGCTGTTCGAATGTGCGCGTCACTGCATACAGCTGGCTCCAGTGATGCGATCTCTACAGTCTACAAGGCCTGATATCTACACCTTTAGATGTGTCCGTGGGATAAGCCGGTTTAGGACCCTTACTACTTCTCTCTGAACAATTTTTGTCTCGGCAGCGTCCTTTGAGCTATACTCGGAGGTCCAGGTTCATCCTATCGTTAGAAAAAAAATGCAGAAACAATTTTTGTCGTGAACTGAGTCTTCAAGCGATCAGTCTACTAGAGCGCTAATCGCTCTCTGTCTGGAGCCGTTGTGGAACTAACTTTCAGGTATTTTAGTTAAGAACAATAGTTTTAGTAGGTTTAGTTATTATGCTCATATGCTATTGTATACTTGTTCGTTTGTCCTTGATGAATTGCTACTTCAAGATTACATTATTTTCTCTGATTCCGAGTAAATCGATGTGGAACGATTGAATGAACAATGTGTTCCTAAAAGCCTTCCGAGAGGCGCGAGAATTAAACTAGCCCCTTCACGTCATGAAATATTCGTGCTTCATGCATGCCCATGAGCCCTCACATCTAACAGTGCTTTCATACTGAGCGGCCGGATTGATTTCTGCCGCAAAATTCTGACGTGGGAGGTCCACAATGACCAGAGCACTACGAATTCAATAAAACTCCATTCGGAACCTTCATCTGTCGCCCTTCATCTCTAAGAAAAGCTATCTATCAGAAATTTCATCCTTTAACAGATTGGGTCGACTGGCGAATCGACTTTTTCTGAAATTGAACATTCCGATTAGCCAACTGCAACTGCCGATCATACTTACTCATCACCATTGCCATATTTACGGAGCTCCTCACTTTCATTTGCGAAGGTCCCCTGTTGAATTGCAAACCTTGAGACCTTTGCAGTTCTAAGCTAATGGCAAAAAAACCATTTTCCGTTCTCGTTTTATTGTACTGACTTTTATGTATCCCTAACAGTTAGCCTATCACTAGTTTTTTGTCTACCTACTCTACCATTCTGTCTTATCTCAGAGAACGTACCAAAACATCAAAATTTATCGTATATAAAAGCGGCTAGAATCATGTCTTTTGATTCCTCGACAGCTTTGAACAGCTCTCCGTTTTCATGTTCTGAATCTCGTCATCTGCTATACATTTACATCCCACATCACCTTTGAAGTAGCAACGCATTTTTGTCATGTCAAAAAAAGGAAGTGACATAGTAGCTTTTGTAATTTATTGCTTATTGTCAACCCTTATCAGCTTTTATCAGTTCTTCACTGAACTTCTACGTTCTTCGACGCCTCACGTGACCCACCAAAAAGGCATGATTCCACTACTTATACAAAGGATTTAACAGTTCCTTTTACTACCGCCTTCCAAAGCCTTTTATGAGCTCCTATCAGTTGTTATCACTCCTCATCACCCACTATCAGTATTCCAACCCTGTCACGCGGCTCCCTTTCGGATTTGATGATCTACGTCTAGCAAGGGAAAAGTTATAAAAGGAAACAACCATCAAGCACCTTGTGATGGCCCTACAAAAATTTACGGGAAATAAAATGCATGAACGAGAATTTCACTAACAAGACGCTTCCCTTCATAACT